GGAATGAAGAAAGATTCAAGCTAGTGCAAGTCAGGGCCTGGTACATAACAGGTACAGTCATGCTTAAATGTCCTCATTTATTTTATTCTGTTTGTTTTGGTTTCTCCGTGTATCCCTGGCCTTGAACACAGAAATCTGCCTGCTTCTGCCTGGATCTGTGCTGGAATTAAAGGCTTACTTCACCATTCCCCGGTTTGTTTTTTTGTTTGTTTTGTTTTTGTTTTTGAGGCAGGGTCCCACTCTGAAGTCCAGGTCAGCCTGCAGCTGGTAGCAATTCCTCCTCAGCCTCCTGAGGGCTGACATTCCAAACGTTGACTCAGGACTGAAATTCAGACTCCTGTTTTTTCCGCTGTTTTTTGCAAATGTTTGCTTATCTGGAATATAGGACTTGAAAGCATAGAACCATACTACACAAACAAGTGAGGATTTGGGGGAGTGATAGACTTTAGTTCCAGCACTCAGGAGGCAGAAGCAGGCGGATCTCTGAGTTCGAGTCCAGGCTGGTCTACAGAGTGAGTTCCAGGACAGCCAGAGCTACACAGAGCAACCTTGTCTTGAAAAAAACCAAAAAGCAAACAGACAAAAAACCCAAATGAGTATTTAAGCAATAAGATAAGAGTGTTTAAATCAAAAGTTGTTTGTAGACTTGCTTTGCCCAGGCTCTCCTCACTAACTCAGCCCTTGAGAACAGACTGTCTTCTGGAGGCTGCTGCTGAGGGTCCAAGACAGACCTCAGACTCAGCCAGCTCGAGTGCACGGAGAGAAAGTACAACCGCCCTTTGCTGCGGGGCTCAGGACCTCAGCCAGGGTCGCGCTCAGGGAAACGCGGAGCCCACAGCATCGTGTGTAGTGTGTGCGTCTGCCCAGTTTTCTTGGGAGAAGGGCCTTAAATATGGCCCTGGTTTCAAGAGAGTCCTCTTCTCCAAAATCGGAGCACAGAGGCACAGTTGTCCTGCAAGCCCTGGCTTCCCAGCCACATGTCTGGCTTTCAGACCCTCACTCCTAAGCATAGTCCCCATGCTCAAGGGGCCTCCTTCCTAGACTGCTGTGGACTCCACCAGCAAAACTTCTGTTTCCACTGTCTGCTTATCTGTGGCAAAAATCCTTTGGAAACCGAGTTGTTTGTTCATCTTGTTTTATTTTTTGAGACAGGAGGGGTCTCAACTGTGGACTCCTGGCTGGCTTGGAACTTGCTATGTAGGGCAGGATGACCCGAATTATCAGAGACCCTGCAGCCTCTTAATTCTGGAGAGAGTGGGGATTATCACAACCAGCTGTTGATTTTGAAGGTTTTTGTTTTTTTTGTTTTTTTTTTTTTTTTGTTTTCCGAGACAGGGTTTTTCTCTGTGTAGCTTTGCGCCTTTCCTGGAACTCACCCTGTAGCCCAGGCTGGCCTCGAACTCACAGAGATCCGCCTGGCTCTGCCTCCCGAGTGCTGGGATTAAAGGCGTGCGCCACCACAGCCCGGCCCGAATCTTCTGTTTAATTTTTTGATTACCAAACAAAATGATGGGGTTCTCTGCAGCTGTGCATAGGTACCACCGCTTTGTGTCTCCTTTGCCTCCCCCACGCCCTTCCCTGGTGGGTTCCCTTCCTTCCCCCAGATAATCTTCCCTTCTGATTCCTTACCATTGCTACCCTTTCTTTACCCCCTCCCCTGGGTGTTGTCTAGTTCCGTTTTTTTTTTTTTTTTTTTTTTTTTTTTTTTTTTTTTTTTGGAAAGGAATTATAGGACACAAAAAGTATATATGTGGAGTGGGTTGTTTCTGTGTTTTTTTTTTTTTTTTTTTTTTGTGGTTGCTGTTTAGTTTATTTTTTGGAGGTCCTGGAGATTAACCTACAGTATCAATCATGTTAACCAGGCCCTTGGCCACCGAGCCACATGCAAGCAGTGAATTCAGAAATTTGTACCCAACTACCACGGGTGGGGGTGTTGAGGGTGGGGTGGGGGACGGGCAGTGCAGGCTTTTAGAAAGAGGGAAAGATGAGATAACAATGATGGGTTAATGAGTAGACTAAAGCAGGGAATGCTGGGTGATCATGGCGCGCGCCTTTAATCCCAACATCTGGGAGGCGGAGGCAGGCGGATCTGAGTTCCAGGCCAGCCTGGGCTACAGGGTGAGATCCAGGACAGCCAGGGTTACACTGAGAAACCCTGTCTCAGAAAACAAAACAAACTAAAGAAGAAGAAAGCAGGAAAGAAACATGATTGGTGATTCAGTGCCCTCGTGGGGCGTAGTTCCAGCCTCACTCTGCTGGGGTTTCTGGAGCAGTTACATACCAGGAGTGTGGGACAGCCTTCGACCCACGGGGACTCGAGGCTGTGCACCGCCCGGCGCGCTGGAGGGACACAGGCGCTGTGGATGCGCTTTTCTCCTGGGAACCGAGGGGCGTAGGGGCGCCGAGGGGCGTGGGGGCGCCGAGGGGCGTGGCCGCCTCGCAGGCTCCCTGAGTGCAGCAAGTGCCAGCAGGTCCCGTTGGGCAGTGGTGGATTGCTGCGTGGTACTCCTCCGCCTATGGCAAAACAGATCACGTGGGTTTCCCCACCCACCAACCCTCGCTGGGGTTGAAGTCGGGGCTTGATTCTAGCTGGGCAAGCCTCAGAGCTATTTTAGCTGGGCAAGCCTCAGAGTTTTGGTGTCTTAGTTAGGGTTAACTGTTGCTTGAATGAAACAGCATGACCAAAAAAATAATTTGGGGAAAAAAAGGGTTTATTTGGCTTATGTTTCCACATTGTAGTCCATCACTGAAGGAAGTCAGGCTAAGAACTCACACAGGGCCGGGACCTGGAGGCAGGAGCAGGTGTAGAGCCTGTAGAGTGGTGCTGCTTACTGGCTTGCTCCCCTCGGCTCATTCAGCCTGATTTTTTTTTTTTTTTTTTTTGGTTTTTCGAGACAGGGTTTCTCTGTGTAGCTTTGCGCCTTTCCTGGAACTCACTTGATAGCCCAGGCTGGCCTCGAACTCACAGAGATCCGCCTGCCTCTGCCTCCCGAGTGCTGGGATCGAAGGCGTGCGCCACCACCGCCCGGCCAGCCTGATTTCTTATAGAGCCCAAGACATCCAGGGATGATGGTACCACCTGCAATGGGCTGGACCGTCCTGAACCCTCCTCCATCAATCACTAAGAAAATGCCCTAAGGCTAGATCTTTGTTGTTTTATTTTTGTTTTTCAAGACAGGGTTTCTCTGTGTAGCTCTGGCTGTCCTGGAACTTTCTCTGTAGACCAGGCTGGCCCTCGAACTCAGAGATTTACTTGCCTCTGCTTCCCAGTGCTGGGATTATAAGCATGTACTATGATGCCTGGTAAGAAACAAATGAGTTTTAAGAGAAGTAATAAATGTAAGTAAAGTTTTTACTTCTATGCAATTGTTAAGTCTCAGGCAGTCCATATGTCCAGATATGACAGTCTTGGCTCAATTCAAGCTGGACTATAAAACGAACTTGTGAAACCCATTCCCATCTGCCAAAAGGAGTCACTTCCCTTGCCTCTCGCAGAAGGGACACATGCCTCTTCATTGACATACAGCTGAGGTTGCATATCAAAGCCCAAGCTGGTCTGGAGGCTCCCTCGGTACTGTTATACATCTCAAAGTCTCCATGCTAGCACCCCCAGGCCTGCTCCAGCTGATGGACTTCTCGCCCCACGGCTACTCCTTCTCTTTATAATCCAAGTGATTTCTCTACTCTGAGCTCTCTTGCTTCTCTAGAAGATAGCCAGCCCTGGCCATGTCCATTCTGCTTCATTTTCCCTCTGCTCTAGACTCTTCCATGCCTCTAGATATGTTCTCTCTCTTATTTACAATAAAAAACCTCCCCACTTGAACCAGCGATGGGGGCGGGGCACTCCTTTCATCCCAGCACTCTGGAGGTAGACACAGGTGGATCTCTGAGTCTGAGGCCATCTGGTCTACAAAGCAAATTCCAGGACAGCCAGGACTGTTATACAGAGAAACCCTGTCTCAAAACACCTCCCCCACCCTCCCCTAAAAAAGATTAATCTCTGACTCAGGCTTGGTGTTGTAGGCCTATAATCCCAGCACTGGATTTAACTGCTGTTCAGCAACAAGGTTGTTTTGGAAACATTACCACATGAGACAAAGCAAGACTACTGTAGCGTGACGTGTACCCATAATCCTATCCTTGAGCACACAGGCAGGGGGACTGCTACAAGTTCCAGGCCAGCCAGACCTACATAACTTGACACTGTCTCAAAAAAAATTAATTAAATAAATAAAATAAAAAGATAAAAAGGGGGTGGGTGTGTTGGCACACTCCTGCCTAGGTACACCCAGAGATCCACAATCGGAAGCCCACAGCCTGAGATCACTGTGTATGGAACATTTTGGAGTTAAGGGCTTCAGCTCTGCCGCTTACTACGTATGATCATGGGCTCTTGAGGTTTCTTTCTCCTCCTAATAATACTCTGCCTTCACACTATCTCATGGTTTGAAAGAAAACGGCCTCCAAAGGGCATGGCTCGGTGAGGAGTTGTGGCCTTGTTGGAGGAAGTGTGTCTCTGTGGAGGTGAGCTTCAAGGTCTCATATGTGCTCAAGCCATGCCCAGTGAGACAGACCTCATTCATTTCCTGTTGCAAAATGTTGACCTCTCAGCTACCTCTCCAGTACCATGTCTGCCTGCATGTTGAATGTCCCACCATGATGATAATAGATTGAAAATGTAAGCCACCTCAATTAAATGTTTTCCTTTATAAGAGTGGTGGCGCACGCCTTTAATCCCAGCCCTCGGGAGGCAGAGCCAGGCGGATCTCTGTGAGTTCGAGGCCAGCGTGGGCTACCAAGTGAGCTCCAGGAAAGGCGCAAAGCTACGCAGAGAAACCCTGTCTCGAAAAACAAAAAAGAAAAAAGAAAAAAAAAAAGTTGCTGTGGTCATGGTGTCTCTTCACAGTAATAGAAACCTTAACTAAGACACACTAGTAAATGAGTCAACTGATTTAATAGTAAATCAGTTCATGTGTGCACAGAACACACAATATGCCTGCACGCAGTCAAGAGTCAACTGATCTTTACTTTCAAAAGAAAACTTCCCTTTCATACTCCTAACGCCCTTGTTCTGCCAAGATTTTACCATCCACCCTGTCTCCATCCCCTCCCTCACAGCCAGACAGGAACCAGTCGAGTCCCGTGCTCTGTGCATTGGTATACTATCACCGGGCTACTTGGGCTGCTCTGTGCCGTGTTCAGTTCTGAGGTGTGTGGCAGAAAAACAAGAAAGCAATGATGTTTGCAAAAATATTTTTCAGCCTGATATCCTTGATGTTTGAGTAATTTTTTTGGTACAGACATCTGAGGAAAATAGAATGGAGCCAATTTGCCTCAGATGCAGCTTTTGAAAGCATAAGAACTCTGGGTACCTTTTGCTTTTATCTCGTTGCTTCAGAGAGAGTTCCTTCACCGACCTGGGCTCTTTCTGAAGATGAAAGAGTCTGTAGTCCCGGTCCTCCTGGCTCATCCTGCCCATGTGTGACTGAGCCTTCACACTCTTACCTGAAGCCCCTGAAGAGAGTAGTTGGAGAATATTTTTACATGTTGTCTTGTTTATTTATTCTATTTTATTTTGCTTGTTTGTTTTTCAAGACGGGGATTTTCTGTGTAGCCTTGGCTATATCTGTATGTAGACCAGACTGGCCTCAAACTCAGAGGCCTTTGCCTCCTGAGTGCTAGAATTAAAGGCGTGCACCACTGTAGCCGTAGACCTTTATTTATTTGTTAACTTTTTAAGAGTCTTGTCAGGTGAGGGCTGGAGAGATGGCTCAGGGCACTGGCTGCTCTTCCACGGGACCTGAGTTCTGTTACCAGAACCCATGTTGGGCAGCTCACAACAGCCTATAACTGTGAAGCTAGGGATGGAGCTCGGGTGGCAAGCTTTGTGGCGAGGGCCTTTGTCCGCTGAGATCTCGCTGGCCCTGTTTATTGTTTTGTGAGATAAGGTCTCACTCTGTAACACAAGCTAGCCTTGAACTTGTGATTCTCCAGTGTCTGTCTCTAAAGTACCAATGTAGCAAGAGAATAGAAACTTTAGGGCTGGAGGGAGATGGCTCAAGAGGTTAAGAGCACTGGCTGTTTCTTCCAGAGGTCCTGAGTTCAATTCCCAGCAACCACATGGTGGCTCACAACCATCTGTAATGACATCTGGTGCCCTCTTCTGGTAAGAAGGCATACATGCAGGCAGAATGAACACTGTATACATAATAAATAAATAAATCTTTAAAAAAGAAAAAAGAAATTTTAAAAAGCTACATCAAGATGGTATGGTGGGGTCGGGTGTTGGTGTTGGTGCACGCCTTTAATCCCAGTGCTCGGGAGGCAGAGGCAGGCAGACTTCTGTGAGTTCTAGGCCAGGCCAGCCATGGTAACACAGTGAGACCTTTTCTCAAAAAATAAATGAACAAACAGATTAATGTATAAAAGAAGCTAGGGACAGACACTGGAAGCCCTTGCCCAGCTGGCTGCATACAACAAACACAGCATGCTTGAGAAGAGCTCCTTCTATACAAACTACAAACGGAGAAGTGCCATTTTTTTTTTCTTTTTTTTTCTGCCTGCAGCAGAGGGAGCTTTAGTGTGGCCCAGCCATTTCCTTTTAGATTGTGCATTTCTGTTTCTTGGGCCTGAAACACTAACCACGTGGGGAGGTGTGTGAAATGCACTAGTCCAATACCGTCTTTCATAGTGTCTAGGGCGGAGATAGTTTAACTTCCCCAACCTCATGATAGAATCTTTATGATAAGAGGCCCAGGGGCACTCTGTCTCAGAGTACACATCCAGCCCTTTGTCTCCAGGCTACTCTTGAACTGGAGGCTGGTGCATCCAGGACCACAAGGACAGAAGGGCTTGATTGACTTCATTTACTAATAAAATTGTTTAACTTTTAAATTAATTAAAAGCAAAGCAAAACAAAACAAAATTTCAATGGCTGAGAAGATGCTTCAGTCAGTAAAGTATGGGTCTCCCAACCATGAGGATCAGAGTTTAGATCTCCAGAACTTGCATAAAAGGTCAGTCATGGTGGCCTGTGACCCCAGCAAAGGCAAGCTGGGTGGTCAAGACAGATGGACAGCTGAAAGCTCTCAGACAAGCTTCCGAGCTTACATAGTCAGGTCCTGTAGTAGGACAGGACCATAGGGTTGAGGAAATTGGCTCAGACCAGTTGCTAAGGCATGCACATAATATACTTCTTATGAGCCAACCTGGAGTCTGCCTGAGGGCCTAGGAACAGGAACTGTTCGAGTGTCTGGTCACTGTCAGGGTTCCTAGTTGATGTCAGAGTTCCTTATCATGCCCAGCCAATGAGTGACAACCACACAGACTGGGTGCTGGGAGGAGAGTATTTAAGGCCTTCCCTGTTGTTGAATAAAGGAGTTTGTTATTTGCCTTCAAACAGACTCCTCGGTGTCTGTGCCATTGATGCTGTGCCTTCTCACCCCTCCCCCGAGGGAGCCCTTAAGATCCAAGCAACAAGGTCCCAAGCCAATAAGTGAGTGTCTCAAAACAAAAGGTGGAAGGTACCAACACCCAAGACTGTCCTTCGACCTCTAGTGTGTACTCCCCAAATGCGCACACAAACATACACACACAGAATCAGAATAAAATATTAAGAAAATCTAAGAAGGCTCAGAAGTGACTCAGTGGTTAAGGGTACTTACTGCTCTTGCAGAGGACCCAAGTTCAGTACCCAGCACCCACATGGTAGTTCACAACCACCTGCCTGTTGGAGGGGATCTGATGAACACAGCACTGCACGTGCATGCACGTGATGCACACATATACTCAGGTGCACACACATACGCGTACCCATATAATTAAATAAATAAATATTTAAATAAAAGGAAAATTTAAGGAAAGGACTGAAAGAAAACAGTTGCCATTGTGAAGACTGTCAGGATTGTCTCCCCCGCCCCCGACTCCCTTGACAGACTGGGGATTATCTCAGCCAGTGGTGAAGACATCCATATCTAGGCACAGGATTTATCTACCTTCCAACAGATGCATTGAGTCATCTGTGTCTCTAACTGGTATATCCTCTGGAATATGGTCCAGTAGATGTATCATCACTTTGATTATCAGGCTGTAAGAGATCCTGGAAGACACTAAATAAAAGAAAAGTTTTGTTATTTTGTCTTTTTTCCCCCCAGAGCTGAGGACCGAACCCAGGGCCTTGCGCTTGCTAGGCAAGCGCTCTACCACTGAGCTAAATCCCCAAACCCAAGTTTTTATGATGTTATAACTTTAGACTGTCTTCTGCAGGATCTTCCTAAGTTGTAGTAGGAATTTCCCAGTACTTTTGTGGTAGCATTTGATACATCATAGTTATATTTGTTGTGGTGGTGTGGTGGACAACAATAAGGCCATGCACCCTGTAATCATGATATTATTTATTCAAAGTTAAAATTAATTCTCTGATTGTAGGATTGATATTTACCATTTTTGATTAATTTTAAGTATCTGCTCCTCCTGGTAGAAAATGACTAACCCTTATCTCTGGGAAATGGGCTTCTAAATCTTCTTTCCAATTTACAGGGGCTGACTCTTATCAGTGTATATTCTATGACCTAGCTACTGTGATGAGATCAGACACAGAATACTGACGCCAGATCAATTAGTCATGTACTATCTCCTGGAGAGCTGGAAAAAGTCAGAGAAAGTTAAATTAAGCTAGATATGGTGGTATATACCTGTAACCCTATCATTTAAGAGGCTAAGGCAGGAGGATTCAAAGTTTGAAGCCTGTCTGGGCTACTTAGCTAGACATTGTTAAAAAAAAGAAAGAAAGGAAGAAAGGAAGGAAGGAAGGAAGAAAGGAAGAAAGAAAGAAAGGAAGAAAGAAAAAGAGAGGGTCTGGAGAGGTAGCTCAGAGGTTAAGTCTTCCAGAGGTCCTGAGTTCAATTCCCAGCAACCACATGGTGGCTCACAACCATCTGTAATGAGATCTGTAATGCGGCCTCTTCTGGCCTGCAGTCGTACATGCTGTATACATAATAAATGAATGAATGAATGAATGAATTAACGAATAAACAAACAAACAAACAAATAAATAAATAAATAAATAAATCTTGGGCTGGAAAGTTAGCTCAGCAGTTAAGGGCACTGACTGTTCTCCCAAAGGACCTGGGTTCAAATTCCAGCATCCACATGGCAGCTCACAATTGTCTGTAACTCAAAGATCTGACCTTCAGGCAAAACACCAATGCACATAAAATAAAAGTAAATAAATTATTTTAAAGAATCTTAATAAAAGAAAGAAAAAGAGGGGATCTAGAGAGGTGGCTCAGAGGTTAAGAGCACTTACTGCTCTTGCAGAGGACCTGTGTCCTGTTCCCAACACCCACATGTAGGCTCGTGAGTGTTTTTGACTCCAGTTCCAGGGAATCTGATGATGCCTCTTCAACCTCCACAGGCTCCTGGATGCATGTGGTACATAGACATACACGCAGGCACACATGCGTACACATAAAATCAAGTAAAATCAGTGTAAAAAGGGGGGAGAGGAGTGGGAGCAGGAGGGAGGGGGGAGTTCAAACTAGTCTCTGTGAATGGGAGTTCAGGACAGTCATTCTTCCTTTCCTGTCCTGAATGACAGAGAAATCCTGTCTGTAAAATGTCTCACACCTTGGTCAACACTCTCCCCTGGTTTTAAATACTGAGTACAAACATACTACTGCATCCAAAGTTACCCCTGCAGCCTCCACCCTCACACACCACTGCATCCAAAGTTACCCCTGCAGCCTCCATCCTCACACACCACTGCATCCAAAGTTATCCCTGCAGCCTCCACCCTCACACACCACTGAATCCAAAGTTATCCCTGCAGCCTCCACCCTCACACACCACTGCATCCAAAGTCATCCCTGCAGCCTCCACCCTCACATGATACCTGATGTCTTTCAAGCATCTTAACTTGCATCTCAAACTCAACCTGTCAAGCAGAACTCTCATTTCTCCGGTCTCCATTCCCGTCTCTGTGTGTGCCATTGGCATCCTAGCTGTCCCAAAGCCTTGATACCTCCCCTTCCCTCAGCCGGTAGCATGTGCTCCGGTTTCTTCCTCAAGTAATAGTTCACATTCTCCAACACTGTAAACTCAGGCGTCTGTGTGTCTTTCCTCAACTGCCATGTTTTCCTAATGCTCTCCGTTTCCCTCTCTAACCTCAATCAGTTCTCCCTAAAACATTCATAGCGACTTTATAAAGTAACCCACTTGCACAATGCTTAAAAGTTCCCAGGGGGTTTTCAGTGCCTTCAAATGAAATCTAAACTTTCTGCCAAAGCCCATATGGCCTTGTGAAAAGTGGTGCCTTTCTCACGATGCCCCACCCCCAATCAGGCTCTGTACCTCCTGTGTTCAGCTTACCACACTGCTCAATCCTGGTCCTCTCTGTGGCTCCAGTCATCATGCTCCCGCTAGCCTCCATGGCTCTTGAACTTTACTGGACTGTTTTTTCTCTTGCCCTTTTACTATTATTGACTGATTGATTGATTTTTGAGACAGGATCTCTCTACATAGCTCTGGCTGTCATGAAACTTGCTCTATAGATCTGACCAGCCTCAAACTTACAGAGATCCACCTGCCTCTGTCTCCTGAGTGCTGGGATTAATGGCATGTGACACCAAGACAGGGCTCTTTTTCTCTTGCTCTTAAATTGGTTGTCTTTTCATTATTCAGTCTCTCAGCATCTCTTTCTTTCTTGGGGTGGGGTTAGGGGCCTAGGGATCAAACCCAGGGCCTCATTCACACTAGATAAATCCTTTACCACTGAGCCACGTCTCCAGTCCTCAGCATCTTTCCAAAAGATGCCAAAAGCACTTGCTCTGATCTTGACAGCCAAAGTGCACACTCTCCCAGTTACTTTTTCATGTCCCTCTGCTTATTACCCATGACACATTCTTGTGTGTGTACGAGAATGAACTCGTACACACTTGTTCAGACAGGGTTTCTCTGTATAGCCCTGGATGTCCTGGAACCAAAGTAGACCAAAGTGGCCTCGAACTCAGGGATCTGCCTGCTGGGATTAAAAACATGCACCACCACCCTGGGCTCAACCTCTGTCACATTCTTTTCTTTCACATTTCTCCAAGACAGGGTTTCACTGTGTAGCCCTGGCTGTCCTGGAACTCACTTGGTAGACCATGATGACCTCGAACTCATAAAAATAGGCCTGCCTCTGCCTCCATGTGCTTGGATCAAAAGCATGGACCACCACTGCCAGTCTCCTGTCTCATTGTTAATACTCAGGTATCATTGTCATTTATTTATACTTTTTTATTGTCTGTCCCCCCATCTAAGATATAAGGACTTTGAAGCGAGAGAATGAATGCAACTTGTTACATTTGCATATCCTGTAGACTTTCTGAAATGGTTCCTAGAAAACAATAGGAACCTAAAAAAGCATATACCAAATAAAAGAAAGTGAGAAGCTGCCACCAAGGGGCCAAGTCAAAACTCTTGACTTTTTCCTCCTCCTCTTCTTTTTTAACTGTATTTGTTTTCTTGAAACAGAGTCTCATCATGTATCCCTGGCTGGCCTAGAACTTTCTCTGTAGACCAGCCAGGTCTGGAACTCATCTCTCTTTGCCTCTGGAGTGCTGGGATTAAGGACTTGTACCAACATGCCCAGCTATCACATTTGTGAACTATGGTCTGTCTATGCCCTCGGTAAGTGCCTCTTCAAAAACCCAAGAATGGAGATGGCTCCTGTGCTTGGGGTTGGAGGGAATTTAGAAAGAGGCATCTCCTCATCCTTATTAGAGGCAGGAGGATAATAAGTTTGAGGCCAGTCTGGGCTACATGGTAAGACATTGCTCCAAAAAGTGATAATTTAGCAGAGTGTGGTGGCACATGCCTTTAATCTCAGCACAGGGAGATAGAAGCAAACAGATTTCTATGCGTTTGAGGCCAATCAGGTCTATATAGTGAGTTCCAGACAGTCAGAACTATTTAGAGACCCTGTCTAAAAAACAACAACAACAACAACAAAAAACCTGGCAACAACAAAAAGCCAGGAATCCCTCTCCTTCCAACAAGAGAGCAATAGAGGTAAAAATGTGGCATCTTGTGAAAATTAGTTATTAGTTAGTTGGGAAGAGATGAGGGAAGCCCAGGTACGATGGCACATGCCTGTGAAGCCAGCACTGGGGAGACAGAGATGGGGAGATAGCTCCAGATTCTAGGATAGCTTGTCTACACAGTGAAGTTCACGACAGCCAGGGTGTAGAGCAAGACCTGTCTCAAAGAGTGAAAACCCAACAAATAATGAGTTCGGAGGAGAGACCGGTGCTAGGAAGCCATTGTCCTTGTTCAGCAAAACGCTGGGAAGCGGGGAGGTCCAGGGATAGAAGAGTGGCCTGGATCCTCACTCACCAAAGCACTTGGATGTGGAACAGACCTAAGAGAGTGACAGGATTAAAGATCCTTTGGTGGACACCTCCAAGGCTGGTGGAATGATACAGAAGGAATACACTTATTTTGCTCTTCTCCAAAGTATCCAGGGGAAAAGATGAAAGATTATAAATACACATTAGAGTTCTGGAGAGATGGCCCAGTGGTTGAGAGCACCGACTGCTTTTCCAGAGGACCCTGGTTCAATTCCCAGCACCCACATGGCAGCTAATAACTGTAACTCCAAGCAAGATCTGACACTCTCATACAGTCACACATGCAGGCAAAGCACCAATGCACATAAAATAAAAAAATAAATAAAATTTTAATAAATAAATAAATACATATTAGATATAAACTTACAATCCTGACTTCCTCCAGAGAGTTCTGTGCAGTTCTTTCCTCTGGATTTTCTGCTGTCTCTAATACTCTTGTTTCCAATCCTCTTGTCCTCCTGCTGGCCCAAGGAGACACTAATCCAGGCCTCTTAGCTGTTAACTCTTTGTAGGTCTGTTTTTAGCTTTCTTTCTAGTGCAGACTGTACTTTTTTCTTGATGCGTGTTGACCTTGGAGAGACAGCATTGAAACCATTACTTAACACATGAACCTCTCCACTAAAACTACAGCTGGAAAATACATGTTTGACTCAGGGGTAATAAAAATGAGTTGGTATTGAG